AAAGAAAGGTTACTTACCTGTAACCATGGTTCTTCAAGTGGACCTCTGTGAATTCACACTACCCGCCCATCCTCCCCTCTGTCTGTCACGGGTATCTTATTGTTGTATAACTCTCGTGCCTGGCGGACAAATTGTAGGAACTGAGGGGAATCTTGGGTGGGAGGAGCTTGTGCCTCATGGGGGATCATCCCATAAAATTGTTACTTTTAGCTCTGGAATGCTCCGAGAATGTCAGCGCAGGCGCAGACTAAACCCATATGTGTGAATTCACAGAGGTCCACTCGAAGAACCATGGTTACAGGTAAGTAACCTCTCTTTTTTCCAGTAGTAATGTATGGAAGTGAGAGCTGGACCATGAAGAAGGCCAACCGCCGAAGAATTGGTACTGGAGGAGACTCTTGAGAGTGCCCTGGACTGCAAAGAGAACAAACCTATCCATTTTGAAGGAAATCAAGCCTGAGTGCTCACTGGAAGGATAGATCCTGAAGCTGAGGCTCCAATACTTTGGCCATTTCATGAGAAGAGAAGACTCCCTGGAAAAGCCCCTAATGTTCGGAAAGTGTGAAGGCAAGAGGAGAAGGGGACGACAGAGGATGAGATGGTTGGACAATGTCATCGAATTTGACCCAACTCCGGGAGGCAGTGGAAGACAGGAGGGCCTGGCGTGCCCGGTCCATGGGGCCATGCAGAGTTGGACACGACTTAACAACAAACAAGAACAAAAAGACTCATTCACATTAACCTCAGATATTTTCTCTGTGGCTGAGCAGAAGGAAAGGGTCTTTTGGGTAGCATCACAAGACATCTGCCTAATACCCTGAAGAAATGCTCTTAGTTACATTAAAGATAGCACTTGGTCAAATTTACTATTTGGTTGACATAGGGTAAGACAATTGTTTTTTGGTCTGTTTGTGCAGACAAAAACTCAAAGCATACAGTTCAAATATTCTTCTGCCATACAGTACATTACAAAAATCAGAATATCCTGAAATATTTTCTCTGATGCTTTATATGTCTTCCTTTCCCTAGGAAACAGAATACTGTGCCAGGCCTAGGCTTGATATAATTCAGCCATTTCCCGAATCTTGTGAGGAAATCTCTTCTGATGCACTCACAGTGAGACGCTTTCAAGAGAATGAGTGCCGAGATTATTGCTTAGGTAAGAAAAGTTCAGTCGTATGGCCATTTTTAACTGATACTGTTTTGCTTCCTACTTTGCTCTTTGTGCCTAGATTCCTTGACAGTCATGACACAGTGCTATGAAGCACATGAAAGGGAGAGTGCAATTAAGATATTGTCTTCAATGTCAAGATATTATAAGATGATTTCTACTAGAAAGCTTTGGAATTAATATTTTGGCTGATTCACCATAATCTGACAATTCTTCAGAAGAGATCCCGTGGATATTGGACTACAGTACTTTAGTTGATTCCAGTTTCTTAATCTGTTTTGCAAGGCGGAGCAAAAATGCGCAGGACCATTGTTAATCACAGGCTTTTTGTGTGGTGTGTTTTGGCATTAATTTGTTTGTGATAATGTGCATAGTGAATGGATTGGGATACAGCCTTAATTTGTACAAGCACTGAGGCATATAGAGAGGTGGCTATTAGCAGGATAGCTGGCATATCATTACTACACCCCTTAGAACAGAGAGTACTAAATGTAAGGCCCAGCTAGACTAGATCCATTTGCCAACATCCTGTTTGTGTAACTTTTGTCATCAGCTTCTGCCAATAAATCAACTTTAATTTAAATCAATTAAATGCCTCCTATCCCTCTGTTTTAGGTTCGGAGGCTCCCTAGGACTCCTTTCGGCCCTTTGGGAGCATTGATATGAGTGGGAAGGTGAGACTTCAATCACCAAAAATAATTGCAAGATTGCCAGTGGTGGTCCTGATTCTGGCAAAAACGATCTAGCAACAATTTTTGGTGATTTAGCCTGATTTTTTTAGTTAATGTTGAATGCACAAATTTGTTCTCTCTTTTACAGAGTATTCAGAAGGTGAATCACTCTTTTATATCATCAGTCCAAGAGACATTGTTGTAGCCAAAGAACGGGACCAAGATGATCACATTGAATGGCTCTTAGAAAAGAAGAAATATGAAGTAACTCTTAAAACCTTACTATTTTTAAGTTTTAATGCAATTGCTCATAAGCGCTTCAGCATAAATGATAAAGCTTCACAGAATGTCTTATTATCTATTTCTTAACTGCTTCATTATAATTCAACTTTGCGTGTAGAAACTGTTCTTAGAACAGATCCTACATATTTAGGTAGTTCTAAGAACTCTCAGGCATACGTCAACAAAATCCCTTTAAAGTTTAAGGTTTAATCATCAGAATATCTTGTGTTTTAACCCATGTTAAGCTTTCACTTTTCATTTTAGGTAGCAGCAAGCTAGCTCTATTTCCACGAACATACAGTAGTTTAGTAGGCATGCCCCAAATTAGAGTTAATGAACAATCATTCTTCTACTAGTCAGGGATTTATTCTTCCTCTCTTAGTTGAGCATGAAGGAAACAAATCAAGGTTGTAGCTGTGTTCTTGTTGCTGCTGTTGTTTTTTTAAGGCAGGTCTCTTTGTAGCACTTTTTTGGTTAGAAAATGAACTTCTGTGATTGCATTTCTTATGGTACCATCCTTCTGAAATTTGATCCCGATATTCTAATGTGGAGTGAACCCAGATGGAAGCCAGACCTCTTTCTTTTTGTTTAAAAATTGCTTTTGTTTGAGTGCAAATTCAAAGCTGCTTGCTCGACCATGACATTAAATGTTCTAGTGCTTTCAAACAAAAGGCACAAGGAAGAAAGGCAACTCTACAGCTCTTTGTATAAAAGCTTTGAATAGTAGGACTGGATGTCATTTTTATTGTGTTATACAGGAGGCTTTGATGGCAGCTGAGATCAGTCAGAAGACTATTAAGAAACATAAGATTCAGGTAAGTTTATGAACAAAATTTTTGAAATTTACAGACTTCAAGAGAAAAATGAATGTTGTCCATGAGCCATGCCAGACTTTTGATTAAATACATGTCTACCAAGTGTCTAGTTCACCCACCTCCATCAATAATATTTAGTACCACTTCACTTATGCCCTAGTGTCAAAACGTTCCATTTTTCGCTTCTCTTTGCCAGCAGTGTGGGATCGTGGTTAGGGAAATGTTTAATGTTGTGGCATCAGACTGCAGGGTCAAAATGGGGTGGGGAGCATGAAAGCAAAATGGTTATTGTTTTTGATAGCAACCACCAGTTTATCATTGGATCATTTGTGGCCTGGTAGCCAATCATAATCTTACTACTGTAGTGAGTTTAATTCATCACATCAAAATTAAAGGCCTCAGCTTTAACTTAGGGGAAGGGTTGTATGCATTTAGCTATGGAGCATAGAGTTTCACCCCAAATTTTGTAAAATGAAAGAGAAGATATGTATCTAAGCACGTGCAGTGTGATCTATAAATGAAGTTATGATGCAGAGATTCCGGAGGACATTTTTGCTTCCAGGCACATCTGAACCATGCAGTTTTTCTGTTTTTACAAAGTGATCATGGAGAACTATATAACTACTCTTCTCTGTAGCAGAAATCCTGTGGTTTAATGTAATAATGAGTTGGTGGGATTGGGAGAGTCAACTCCTCTATAAATTCCTTTGAGTCAAATGGGCCTAATCTAGTGCAATTTACTACTCTCAGCAATTGGATTTCAATCTATGGATCCTAGTTGCTATTCTGCAGCTCCCAAAACCCTCCTGCTAGCCACATTACAGGTGAAGGATGAAAGAGTATGTGAGCACAAAGCTGACAAAGGTTCATTCTTATAATAATAGTCCATTGTTCACTGTTACATCTGAAGATTAATTGTACACTTTTTACATTCAGTAAAATGTTCAGATGACCTGAAAAAAAAGGTCATACCGTGTTTCTCTGAAAATAAGACTTATATTAAATAAGTCTTATATTAATTTTTGCTCCAAAAACGCATTAGGGCTTATTTTCCAGGGATTTTTTTGTGTGTGCGTACAGCCATCTGTATTTATTCAGATAGTCATATCATCTTCTTCTGGTTGCTGCACCATGGTGGGGGGCGGGGTTTCACTTAATTGGGGCTTATTTTGAAGGTAGGGTTTATATTACGAGCATCCTGAAAAATCATACTGGGGCTTATTTTCAGGTTAGGTCTTATTTTCGGGGTCTTTCATTTTCATCTTGAATCTCTGTACCAAGTGTGAGTACTGTACTGAAGAGCTGAGAGGGAGAAGATAGGTGTCCTAAAGGAACTTGTACCCTTTCAGCTGTAGATTATCTCTCCAAATGCTGATTTTCCCATAGAAAGTTTATGAAAGAGTGTCATTGCTTTGCCGTGCTTCATTGAAAAGGCAGTGTTTGCCATATGGTTTGGTTGAAACACTCTCCAATCTCATCTCAAGGCATGATGGGGGAGTGATATTACGGCTTGCCATTATTACATATGATTTTTTTTCAATCAAAAACCATCAGTTAAGATGCACACTGAGTGCAGTATCTGAATGTGATGTACATTCATACATCTTCTATGTATAAGCCTAAAAGATGTGATGGATATCCCCTTGTTGAGAATCTGCCATTGTTATTAAATTAGTTACGTGAAAAAATGCATTTCAAAACACATTAAGAAGAATATGTTGGCAGGAAGCATAGGGCAATTGGCTATGTTAAAATTAGATATTAAACAGTAAAAGCCTGTTGGAACAAAAATATGTTCAGTTTCTGCAGAAAAGAAACGAAAGAGGGGACCAGCCTAGACCTACTGGGAGGGCATTACATATCCTGGGGGCAACCACTGATTTGCACCCATCTGCACTGCTCAACATGTCCTTTTTCTGTTTTCATTTCTGTTGTAAGGGAATTTGTGCAATTTTTCTACTTTATTTCTTGCAACGTAGAAATGTTTATGGGTATAGAAATGTGCAATTTTTCAAATGAAAACATTTAGCTATTCACATATTTAAAGTGACTGCACACTCTGTTCTCTGTTTTTTATTTCACTGAAACACACTGCATGTCTGGCAGATGTGTAGGTTTTGTAGGGAGGGTGTGCTTTGTCTTGCAACAGGCTCCAGGAGATGCAAAACACTGAGAATGCAACAAAATTTGTTCCTGTTCCAAGATTTGGACATACATATTTTACATATGCATGCGATCTGCAAACGTTATATCCCTGTATAGATATCTCAGAAGCAATGGAGACAAAGCATTTATGCCCAAGGAGTAGTGTGGGAGATATGATCACATTTCCCCATCATGTATAAGTACAGTATTGGGAAAGGTGTCCTCTGATACAGTGATTTTAACAACTTATTTTTAAGATTTCTTCTACACAAGGGTTTTGATAAAACGCAGAGTTTTTCCGTCATTCCCCCATCATATGAAATTACAAGTTTGGGAAGTCTATCATCTGAGCTAATCTTTAAGTATTTTTATTTCATTTGATTTTTTAAAAACTATTTTAGGATACCGTATTTGCTGGCGTACAAGATGACTTTTTGGTCCTGAAAAACATGCCGCCAAGTGGGGGGGGGTCGTCTTATACGCCGGGTGCACTTCCAGCAAACTCTCCCTCTCTCCCAGTGAAGTCACTTACCTGGTAGTAAGACTGAGTAGACCTAGCCCACTCCTCCTTGGTAGCCTGGGAACAACATGCCTCTAGTGCCGAACAGCTGACTGTCAGGAACCAGCAGAGAGGCGGTAGCCATTTTGAAATGACCACATGACTGCTGCCTCTCAAAATGGCTGCCGCCTCTCCAAAATGGCTGCTGCCTCTCTGCTGGTTCCCGACAGTCAGCTGTTCAGTGCCAGTGCTGTCCTTCTTCCAGCAAACCCTCGCTCTCTCCCAGCGAAAGGAACCAAAAGCAGCAAAATGAACTCTCCCCATGATGCAGCCAAAGCAGAATCACCCATGTGGAAGAGGGGGTAGTCTTATACAGCAAGTATATAACAAACTCTACATTTTGAGTGGAAATGTTGGGGGGTCGTCTTATACGCTCAGTTGCCTTATACACCGGCAAATATGGTATATTAGATAGTTCCCAAACAAAGTTACCAAGGAAATAACTTGGAATATACTGGGGAAATAGACACCCTGCAATTTGTACCAAATAAGGCACTTAAACTACAAAAATATCATGCATGCAATTTTGAGTAACTTTTAACTAATTGTAGGATTTTTTTCCTATTCCAGGACATAGGTTTAGCCTACATAAATCATCTAATGGAAATTGGAGAATATGATCTGGCTGCTCGGTAGTATCTGTAATTTATTTTTTAAACATTGTTGGGTTGAAGGAACATATGTCTGTGATGTATGTTGCTCGTTTGTGCAGTCTCTCTAGTCATATTGTGAATCCTAAATTATTCAAATGTCTCAAATCCGTATCTTTGTTAAGCCAAAGAAAAACGCACATGTGCACAAGTGTGCAAGCATTTGAGATCACTGATCCCTTCATGCAGCAAAATGTTACAAAAATAAGCATGAAAAGGGGAAAGAGGGAGGAAGTTTAGATCATAAACCCTTGTAGTCTGCATATTGTATTGTGATACCATAGAGGAAGAAGGCTATGAAGACAATGAAATGGGTTCCATCAAGTGAAGTTATGCTATTAGATTTTACCTAGAGCAGCCCATAGAACTGCTGGAAGCTGGAAAGTTAGAAAATATTGGTCCTCCATCTTAGAAAGTACAAGTCCCTACGGTGGACTCAGAGCTGTTTCAATTGTTTTTGTTCACAGGTTCCTTAGACAGTGGAAACACAGAACTACCAGGAAGTAGTAATATTATCAAGGCTAGTGATAAGTTTAGATGCTCTGATAGGTGAAGGAAGTCAGTAGTAGCCAAATCACTCAGCTTTACCTATTGTGCAGGAAAGGGCATGCCTTTCATGAATAAAGATCTAATTTCTGGTGTAAGGTCCCACTTTTGTAAGATCTTGCCTGTGAACAAGAGATCAGTGATCTCAGAAGCTTATGTAGGTTTTGGTGTGCCTTGTTAGTTGCCCTTGTAAAGGTTTTACTCCAGTGCGTGGCTACTTCTGCTTTTTTAATTATTTGAATGTGCAGCTTATTTCCTCTTACAAGGAAGATATAAGTATGGTATTTATGTGGTTGACAGTAGCCCCATGCAATTGTTCTCTAACCTAATTTTGTCGACAGAGGGGAACAGTTTGCTCTACTCTCTTAGTTCCTGTACAAGTATGAATGGGAAAATGGGTTCTTTCTTGTGCATCAAGCTTGCACTCAGGCAGGAACATCTGCGGTTCAATAGTCACAATTGTTTGCATGGAGAAAGCAGGGAGGGGGAGGGGAAGCAGAGCTAGCTGCTTCTCTTTAACCTTGTTGATAGTGCTGCATTTGGTAATGGCCAAATAGGGCTAAGGACTAGATGACTCATTACGATCATTCCATGTATGTTTCTCACACTCTTTGCAGCACGAGCTTCAATGAAATACCTGCATATCAAAGATTCTATCATCAGAATGTTAAACTCCCACTGACTTCCTTGCCAACTAACCATAATCTTTGTGTTTTGATACCATGTATAAATTTTTGCCATTTTGTAGCTCTTCCTCTTATGTCTGATGAAGTGGACTTGTCAGTGAAAGCTCATATTAAGAAATATAAAGTTAGTCTTTAAGGTGCCACCATGTTTTTGTCTTTTTACTGTTCTTTTATTTTTTATTATTATTATTTACTTTTGTTTTTATCTATAATGCTTGCAAAGACTAACACAGCTATCTCTTCTACATCTGCATCCATGTATGAAAGGCACTTCTTTCTCTTTTTTTTTCCTTTCTGTCTATCTACTCTTGGTGAATGAGCCATCATTCATTCTGGGAGGTTTCTGTGGCTTAGTAAGCCAAAGGATTCTAGCACACATTAGGTTCTGCATTGTGGTTGTTGACCGTATGTTCTGAATGTAACCCACAGACTAAATAATGGCCAGTGCAATAAATGATTTCAAATAGCTTCTGAGTTACAGGTCTCTGGGTACATGCATTAGCCGTGAATGTGTGATTTATGAACTCCTTTTTTGGGGTGCTCTCTTTTCCTTCTCAGAAAGTGCCAGAAAATACTTGGCAAGAACACAGATTTGTGGGAATTTGAAGTACATAGGTTTAAAGAAATTGGACAACTTAAGGTATGTTCCGTTGGGTTGGGGTTTTTTAAGTAAATAAAGCTTCTTTTAAGAAACTAGTTAAACATAATATTTCAGGAACTGTATAGAGTTGGTGGTGTAGTTGGGATAAATATACCTCTTCACCATGCCCTTAAGGTAATGAGTTCAGTGGATTGAAAACCTTGCTCTAAAAACTGGCTTACTCCAAGCTGTCTCCATCCTTTTTATGAAAGAGTGGGTCCACACAAATGAGTCCCAGAGTGCATGTGTTGCCTTTTACCTGGTGCATATGGCAAGGCTTATTGTGAGGAGAAGTCATCTGGATGCATATTTCTCCATCATGCATTACACAGTCCCTAGCTAGGAATGAGCATCCTATATAATTTGATTCCAAAATTTAACAGATTAATGATCATGGCCAGATTTTTATAAACAGGCATAATCTGTTGCAAATGTGTTCTAGAAATTGAATATTTATTGAATCCAGTTCTTCAGCTCCCATTCAGATAATTATGTGTGGCTAAGAGCTGAAGTATGCCCAGCTGTTTTTCCTTTCTCGTATTTGTGTTTGTTCATGAAGGCCTTTTTAAAAGAGAGAGGGAGAGAGAGAGAGAGAGGACTGAGGATCTCCATGACCCTGTGACTCACTGCCAGTTGCACATCTTTTGATTTGATAAGAGTAGTTCCAAGAACTAATTCGGTTCCAGTAAAACAGATTACTTTCCCTTGTTGTGCTATGAAAGACTGGGAAGAGAGAAAGGAATTCTGCCAGTTCTTGTAGATTCATGGCCTGGCAAACCAAGTGTTCCAATGGGACGTATGTTAGCAAACATTTAGGTTAATAAATTGCCCGTGGCATACAGCTAAAAGACTGTTGCTTGCTAAAAAGTAGGAAACGTTTATGTACATAACCTTTTGATAACATTGACACATTTTCTTTTCAGGTTTGTCTTCCTATTCAAAACCAATGAGCCAAAAGGGGTATATTATTAAGATCTCGCAGCAGGTGGTCCCTTGGTGCTTTTTGAGCTGTTAAATTTCTGCTCAGGAATCTGTAGATGTTGCAGCACGGCAGTTTGTCTCCTGACATCTGCCTTCTTATATAATTAAAGAGTGAAGGAGAAGCAATAGCACATTTATAGTTTTTTGGGGGAAGGGGGTGAGTTACGCTTTGCTAGATTAGAAGATGACCACTTGGCTTAGTTCTACTCTAATAAGAGACCTCACAATGTGTACAGATAAAATTGTGATGTGCTATTTTCACCAGCACCTCCCTCCCTCCCTCCTTCTGGTTTTATTTTCTGCCTAGATGTGCATGTCTTGAGCAGATGTCTCCACTTATGCCATCCAGCAGACTGTAAAATTTAGAAAATAGTTGTAGGTTTTCCAAAAAGCCTCTCTGCTAAATTACTGCCATTCTAAACAGTTGGTTGTTTTCACCTTTTCTAAACATAGATCATAGAAAGGCAAAGGTGTGGTGTAATAAGCTACTTGCTTGCAAGCTGTTCTTTTAGTATGAGCTCCTGTTGCAGTCTTTCTAATCTGTCCTGAGCAACTGTGATTCTAGGATATAATTTAAATTGTCAGTGACTGTAAACAGCTGAGATTAATATTCATGTGTATCTAGTCTAAAGACGTAAAAGATGCTCAATTCTATTTTATTTAACATTATAGTTCTTAGGACTTATCTGTGCTTCAGATTCATTTCTTCCCTTTTGGCCTTGATTGTTTTGGCTTGTACAACTTACTGTATAATGCATTGCAAATAAAGTTGTGTGTAGTTAATTATATGATTTAAGAAGGCATACTCTTTAAGAAGGCATAAAAATAGATAAAATGTATGATTCATTGGCCAAACCCCCTTTCCCACCTCACCCAACGTGTGCAATGGCCAGTTGTGTGCATGGTTGTCTTTTCTCTCAGTTGCACAAGGAGGTTTAGATTGTCTCCCTGCACATGCATAGCCCCTTTGCTTTTAACAGGGCAATCTCCAACGTGCATAACTTCAGGCCAGAGGTCACTCGAGCAGTCACCGTGTGGTCTATCCGCAGAGCAGTGAACACTTCACAATGGCAGAAAGATTCTGGCCAATTTTTGATGGATGTGTAACCCACCATTATGCATTTATGCATGAAAAATAGTGCTCAGTATGGATAAAACTAATTTTTAAAGAACATTTCTGTCATGAGGAAATAAGCAGTATGCTCTAACGCAGATGTACAGCAGACAGATCAGGTTAAAAGTCAAAAGCTTGCCTGAATGAAATGTTTTTACCTGTTGGCAGAAGGACAGCAGAGATGGAGGTAGTCTGTTGTCTTTTCTCAGGTTGCTCATAAACCTCAGAGTCTCTCTCACATTTCTACCAGTAGTGATGAAAGGTCTCTCTGCAGGATCTTAAACCCGGGAAATACTGAGATTATGTTATTCTGCTTCCTACTTTAGGCAATCAGCCTCTATTTGCCAAGACAGGATTCCATCCTAAAGCCTTTCATCTATGAAATGGTTCTGCATGAATTTCTGGAGAGTGACTATCAGGTACCGTGTTATTTGTCTACATGACACTGGTGTGTGGAATATTTGGATAATTCTAAGCTAGTCAGTCTGCTGCTAAAGCAGAGAGTAGGATGAGGTACAAGATTCATTATGAAGACACATGATCGGTACACAGTTGAGGGTGACCACCAACTTTGATAAGGATTTTGTATTAACGCAGCAGCACAAGCTAAATCCAGTTGTTCCCAGCTAGAGTAAACCAACTAAACTAATGGGATTTTGGTAAGTCAATACTTATGTGACTCTCATTAATTCAATGGGTCTGCTGTCATTGGGAGTAATAACTGGACTTAGGCCTATCGGTTTTACCTAATGAATACATCAAAGTGTTTTATTTATACTGCAATAGTATTATAATAGATGAACCACTTGTAGGTTACTTCAGCAATGACCGCTAAATACAAAAAGCACTGAAAAATGAGGAAGTAAATGCATGAATAATCAATAGCCTGCTTTTCCGTAGTCTTGTGATTTTATCAGCTTGTACTTATTCTTGAAGAATTGAAATAGGCAGGCCATTCCTCGCTTCCTATGTTCAAATATTTTAAAGAATGACAATTCAGTTCCATGTTGTTATTTTTAACAGTAAGACTAACTCCATTCTTACTTCCTTTCCAGAATTTAGATCTGGAAGGTCTCAAATGACTCAGTAACTTTTGTACTGAAGCACCTTCAAATTTGTAGACAAAAATGGACTTGCCTTTAGTCAATGAACAACTTTCCGTATATTGTCCCTGTTGTAAATTATTCTCAGTGAATACAGGCAACTCCTTGCCAAAACGTAGCTACTTAGTGAGCAAAACTTTTGTGTTACACAGGCTCAGTGAGGTTGAGAAATTCACTCCTCAGCATCTGAAATACAGGAAAGCAGAGTAATGGTATGAGTAATCCTGCCACTTGGTAAGATGAATGCTGATTGGTTTGCAGAGTTATTATATGCACACTTGGGCATGTTATCACTTCATAAAACTTGAAATGGTGCAATCCCATGGAAGATGCCAATTCAGTTTGATTTGAACTGCTTGTCAAAACACCGATACGGCTTAGTAAGATTTGAAATCGACCTTAGAGAAAGAATCATGAAAAGAAACAGCCTGTTAAGCAGAACTGGCTTCCAAGGTTTTGAGGGTTGGGACAAGGCATCACTGTAATATTTGGGACTTTAGAAATTAACTTTTCATCATTGCTTCTCTCTTTGATGGACCTCAGTGAAGATAAAGGTGTACATTGCACTTGAGACAGGACTTTCAAAACAAATATCGCTGTGTGGAATCTCGTGTGAGGATGGCCATCTTCAGAGGCTTTGCCTTTTAAAGAGCAGTCAATACTTTTCTCTCACTGGCATTTTGCAGTAATCATTCTGAGAATATTATGGAGAATGAGATTATTCTTTCTGTTTGGGGTCCAATTCTTGCTTAGTCTTGTTTTCTTTAAAGTTATAAGTTGGAAATATTTACTTTAGGAAACCAGTATTACATTACTTAATGAGGTACAGTGGGACACACACACCCCATCTATGGGATTAACATCTGCTGATTCATGCATCTGCTATTTGAAAATACTAAATAAAAAACCTCAGAAAGCAAATGTGCATGTATCTCCAGGGTGTATTTACCAGTACTGGCTACTAGAAGGTGTCAGAGTCTATGCAATTCAATACTTATGTGTTTTGTGGTATCTGTGGGTGGGGGGCTTGGAAACTGATTTCCCGCGGATACTGCAGCCTTACTATGTAACAATGGGTGAAATGAAAACGTTAGTAATTTATTGGCCCAAATACAGTGCATTGCATCCCATTGTTAACATTTGCTTGAAATGTTATTGTTACTGTTGCAAAACCTTTTAGGCAAAGGCAGGCAAATATAGGCAAAGTACTTCTTACAGATTTCCCTCAACAGTAACAGCACCCCAGGAAACAATGAAAGGGTAGAGGTTGTTTCCCATCCCTGAAGAAAATCTGCAAGACCAGTCTGTAGAACTAAAGCTAAAACAACAGAGTGGTGAAATACAGATCCCATTCGCTCTCTTTCAGGTAAAACAAATACTTGCAGTATGGTTTTGCTTTTCCAGGTTTCCACCAGAAGGGGTTGGAAACGATGCGAACAGTCTCATTACTTACCTTTAGTTCACTTGCACATCATACACTGGAATGGGAACATTTTAAACTCAAAAACAACTGTAAAGACTTGAGACATTAGAGATTGTCCATAACTGGAAGAGGAGATTCTTAACAGACAAGAAGGGCTGAATATCAAACAAGACCTTTTATCACCCTCAGTATTATACAGATTAGTTTGCCGTTTGCGGTATGTTTATGTGTTATTGGAAACATGGAAAAAAGTATCAGACACCTTCTTGCAATATTAACATGCATTTGACTCTAATTGTAGGCTACTTCTAATATCTCTTTCTGGCCTTATTAAGGTCCTTTATACTGTCGAGGAAGGAGGGGTTGGATGGGTTGAAATGTTATTAATTAACTGGTGTACACACAGTTAAAAGCCATCTTTTCATTTTCAGGGGTTTGCAACATTAATTAAGGAATGGCCTGGGAATCTCTATAACAACGCAATAATTGTGCAAGCTGTAGTAGATCGTCTGAAAAAAGATCCACAGAACACAGCTTTGCTGAAGACACTTGCAGAGTTGTAAGTATAGTGCATTGGAATGGCTCATTAAGGAAAGTTTTGTTAACTTTTTTGTCCTCTAAAATTTGTGTTTTTTTAAAGTGGTGCTTTCTCAAGTGCTGAAAGATGTCTGTTTGCCATAGAACACGATTTTCCACCTATAGAAAAGAAGACTGAGGGGTGATAGGATAACACTTTTCAAATACTTCAAAGGTAGTCATACAAAGGAGGGGCAGGATCTGTTCTTGATAATCTCAGAGCACAGGACACATCATAATGGGCTTAAACGACAGGAAACCAGATCTAGGCTGAATATCAGAACAACATTCTTAACTGTTAAAGCAGTACAACAATGGAACCAATTACCTCAGGAGCAGATATTGCTGAAGAAATTCTGTTATAAGAAGGGCAATGGGTTAACTGTGGGAAATACAAATTCTTTTTAATGTCTAATCTGATATTACTCAACCTGCTTTGCAGGGGAAACACAGTACTGTACTACAGACATAATAGATAGTGGAAAAGGTCTTGATTGCTACGGTACATGTCCTGTGTAGTGCTTTCTACTGTTAGATTACTTTTCAAAATCATACTCCTAAACAATATTTGCCTTTCATATGAAAATGGGCAGAGTGGGGAAAGTAGAAGGTAATTTTATGTGAAGGAATATAATGACCCAAGGAATGTAGAGAGGAAAACTATTGCAAAGGACACACATCATGAAGTGCTCACCACACCTTTTCCATGTGTGTGCCTCTGCTCAAACATCAACCACCTTTAAATTTCTGTACTAAATTTGGGGTTGCTGTTTAAACATTTGCATAGGGACTCGTGCATTGTCCCAGTCACTGAGCGAGGCAGACAGTCATTGTTCTCTTTTACACTGCTTTTCTAAGCTCTGAAAATAGGAATGTTTTGGTGAAACACGGCTTTATTTACTTTGATGACACTACGAGTAACCAAGTGTCATTGCACTAACCACCAGTATATGTGGATATAGTATCTCATGATTGCTATCTATAAAATAATAAGAGGTTTAAAAAAACACAGAGATGAATTTTAAAAAACTCAGAGGTTAACTGCTTGAACAGTATTTCAAGCTGTCAGTTCTCCATTCATAAGTCTTTTGTTTTCTTCTTTATAACTTAAAACACTTTTGTTCTTTGCATGTATAGATATAGATATAGATATAGATTTATTTATTTATTTATTTATTTATTTATTTATTTATTTATTTATTTATTTATTTATTTATAACAATTTTACAACAATTTACAGCAGTTAGCCATCATTCACGATGGAGAAACAAAAGGTAAATTAAGTGGTGCCCGGAGGGAAGGCCTGTCTAAATAGCCAGGTCTTAAGATGGTTTTTGAAAATGCCCAGCGAAGGGGCCAAATGGATCTCGGAGGGAAGACTGGGAGCCACTGCTGAGAAGGCCCGGTTTCTTCTTTTTTCTTTCTGGACCTCCCTCGGTGTTAGGCTCCTCAGTCGCCCCTCCTGGCTAGAACGGGTGATACGAGTAGATCTAAGTGGGAGGAGGTGTTCCGCCAAGTTTTGAGGTCCTAAACCATTTAGTGCTTTGTATGTGATCATTAAAACTTTGAAATCAATGCGGAAGCGAATGGACAGCCAGTGCAAGGCGGCCAGGGTGGGAGTGATATGTTGATGTTTCCTCACCTCACTAAGTAGTCTGGCCACTGCATTCTGCACCATTTGAAGCTTCCGCATCAATCTCAAAGGTAGCCCCACGTAGAGCGCATTACAGTGGTCTAATCTTGAGATTACAAGCACATGGACCAGAGTGGTAAGCACCCCAACATCAAGATAGGAACGCAGCTGGGCAATCTGCCAAAGATGGAAATAGGTTGAGCGGACCACTGACGCCACCTGAGTTTCCATGGTGAGCGCCGGATTCAGTTGTATCCCCAAACTGCGAACCTCACTCTTCATGGTGAGAGTCACTCCCCCTAAAGAGAGGGAGTTTCCCAAATTGCCGCTGGTGGGTCCACCCACTCTCAGGACCTCCGTCCTGTCCGGGTTCAGCCTCGGCCCATTTTCCTGCATCTATTGCAGTACAGCCTCCAAACAGCGCTGAAGGGACAGAACGGCATCCACTGTAGTTGGAGAAAAGGAGATGTAGAGCTGAGTGTCATTAGCAAACTGACGGCACGAGGCCCCATACCCCCTGATAACCCCACCCAGCGGCATCATATAGATATTAAACAGCGTTGGGGAGATAATTGAGCCCTGCGGAACTCCACAATTGAGGCTCCACGGGGCCGAATCCCTTTCCCCAACCTGGACTCTCTGAGGATGATCCCCCAAGAAGGATCGGAGCCAGGCAAACGCCAGGCCACCAATTCCCAGCTTGGAGAGCCTCCTCAGGAGGATACCATGATAGATACTTGCTTTGACACAATCTCTAATAAAATCTCACTTTTTTTTACAGTCATTGTGATTACAGTTCTAAATTACATCTCTAGCTAGCTCTGATCCTAATGAACACCAAGCTATTGCTGACTCTCTTACTGTCACACACACGCACTCACACACACACACATACACCATGCAAAATCACCACGCATCATTTGATTTGACCCTAAATTCTGCAGTGCAGGGGTACACCCTCTATTTCAGTTGTGACATAAATACTGGCAACAGGTTATATAAAGGAATAATATTTGGGCCCAGTCTTTATGGAGCAATTAGTCTTTGAGTGAATTTGCTGCACAGGCTCTGATTGTTGAAAAGAGACAGTTATGCAAAAGCTGGCTGAGGTGGGGAGAAACCAGAGGGCTATACAAATATACAGTTTCAGAGGTTGTTGTTGTTGTTGTTGTT